CGATTCGAGCGTTGGAAGAGAAATAGATGTCGACGATCGGTGATTTGGAGCGGAAATCAATCGATCGGTTTGAGGAATTAAAAGCGAAGATGGATTCAAACTTCGATTGTTTGTGTGAGTTGATTGCGCCGAAGGAGTCGAAAAGTGTAGACGTATCGGAGCCGAGTCCACCTCCGTATTGTCATCCAAACTATCAGGTACCTCCTATCTCATCGGAACCTAGCTGTAGTTCTAGGATGGAAGAAGGATTGAATAAGAATACGATTACTGAGAAACGTGATGGATTGTTGAAACGTATTGAGTTTCCGACGTTTTCGGGAACAGATCCATATGGTTGGTTCGCAATTGCAGAGAGATACTTTCGAATCGGGGGGTATGATGAACGACGGAAATTAGAAGTGGTATCTGTGAGTTTGTCAGGGGATGTTTTGAGTTGGTTCAACAGTGAGACACACCGGAATAATTTCTTGAGTTGGAATGACTTTAAGGAAAGGCTTATGATCAGATTTAGCAAGGAGAAGCTGAGGTATCCTAGTCAACCATTCTTTGCGTTACGGCAGACGGGGAAGGTGGCACAGTATATTCATATGTTTGAAGATCTTTCTACTCAAGTCAGTGGCTTAACTGATAGACAATTGGAAGGTATATTCATGAACGGATTAACACACGGAGATGCGGGAGGTAGTAAATATGAGTAAACCAGTTGATCTACCAGAAATGATAGCCACAGGTTACCAAATGGAGGAAAGTGCGCTGTATAAGATGGTGTGTAAGGAGAAGGCTTTGGAATCTAAATCAGGATCAAGATTCGGCGGGTTGAAGCACACAAATCAATCTGCTCCATCTTCTGATTGGCAAGCAAAGCAACAGTTGGTTAAAACGGGAGTTATGCAAGACAAAGGAGGTGGTACTAAAATGCAGAGACCGCAAATGCGGTTAACTGAGGCTGAGATTGTGGAAAAGAAAAGGTTGGGACTTTGTTTCACTTGTGATGATAAATGGTCTCGTCAACATTTGTTCCCTAATAGGACTTTACAAGTCTTAACGGTCATTAATGGTTTAGAAGTGGAGATAGTTGATCAATCTTTGGTAGAGGTTGAGGAGGATTCAGAAGGTGCAGATTCAGTATTAATGGCATTGTCATTAAACTCCTTCTTGGGAATTTCGTCTCCAACTACAACAAAACTCCGTGGGATGGTGAGCAACAGTAGCGTAGTGGTGATGATTGATAGTGGTGCGACTCACAATTTTATATCACCAGCCACTGTCTCTCATTGCAAGCTAACAGCTAACAGGAATCCTAATCTGGAAGTGTTACTTGGTACGGGTTTATCAGTTCAGGGAACCGGGGTTTGCAGAGATGTGCAGCTTCGGTTACCTACGATGGCTTTCCAAGCTGATTTTGTGGTGTTGGAGTTAGGAAATGAAGACATTATATTGGGAGTTCAATGGTTGCGCACGCTGGGAGTGTGTACGGTGGATTGGGAACGAAATGAGTGGTCTTTTTGTTATAAGGGGAAGCAGATTGTGCTGTCTGGAGATCCGACTTTACAGGGCCCAAATATATCTCTAAAAACATTGACAACGGGTGTGTCAATGCAGAAGGAAGGATGGGAGATTGGATTACAGAACTTGGAGAAGAAGTGTGTCCAAGAGGAGGTTATTCTGCAAGAAATGACTGCAGTTTTGCAAAGCTATGAGGCGGTGTTTCAGAAGCCAAGAGGACTTCCTCCTATGCGCGGCAGAGAGCATGCCATTGATTTACTTGACAGCACGAAACCTATCGGTGTGCGTCCGTATAGATATCCACATGCTCATAAGGAAGTCATGGAGAAGTTGGTAAGTGAGATGTTGGAGGAAGGATTGATTAGACCGAGCCACAGCCCGTTTTCAAGTCCCGTGTTGCTCGTTAAGAAGAAGGACAATTCATTCCGGTTCTGCGTTGACTACAGAGCTTTGAACCGAGCAACAATTCCAGATAAGTTCCCTATACCAATGATCGATCAGCTTCTTGATGAGTTGAATGGAGCAAGGTACTTTACTAAACTGGATTTAAGGTCAGGATACCATCAGATAAGGATGTCTGAGCGAGATGTGGAAAAAACAGCGTTCAGAACACATGATGGTCATTTTGAGTTTCTGGTGATGCCTTTTGGTCTCACAAACGCTCCAGCAACATTTCAAGCGTTGATGAATGAGATTTTCGTCCGTTTCTGCGAAAATTCGTCCTGGTTTTACTTTGATGATATTCTGATTTATAGCAGGAGTTTGGAAGATCATGTGAGTGAGGTGTTGGATGTGTTTGACGAGCAGAGGTTGTATGCTAACAGAAAGAAGTGCTCCTTTGATCAGGATAAGGTTGAATATTTGGGTCACATTATAAGTCGCGAAGGGGTTGCGACAGATCCAAAGAAGATTGAGGCTGTTTGTAAGTGGCCAGTACCAAGGACAGTTAAAGAGTTGCGTGGTTTTCTTGGGTTAACTGGGTACTATAGAAGATTTGTGCAGAGTTATGGGTCCATTGCAAAACCTTTAACAGAGCTTTTGAAGAAGGATCAGTTTGAGTGGAGCAAACAAGCAAATGAGGCTTTTGAGAAACTGAAAACGGCGATGGTTACCGCTCCTGTGCTAGCACTTCCTGATTTCAAAAAACTGTTTATAGTGGAGTCGGATGCATCAGGTTTTGGTCTTGGAGCAGTCTTGATGCAGGGTCTTCATCCTATAGCGTTTTTTAGTCATGGTCTGACTCAAAAAGAGCAACTGAAACCAATGTATGAGAGAGAGCTGATGGCCATTGTCATGTCCATACAGAAGTGGAAACATTATCTTTTAGGAAGACGGTTTCTAGTTCGCACGGATCAACAGAGTTTAAAATATCTGCTAGAGCAGAGGGAGATTACACTGGATTATCAACGTTGGTTGACACGCATCTTGGGTTATGAATTTGATATAGAGTACAAGGTTGGCAGTGAAAACAAAGTGGCTGATGTTTTGTATCGGATTGATCATGTGGCGGTTGGTGAAGCTGGTTTGGTGTTGTTGGCTTTGACAGTTCCGGTGACGTTACAGATGCAGGATGTTTACAGTGAGATAGATGAAAATGAGGAGATTCAGACCTTGTTGGCAAAGCTGTTAAAAGGAGAAACTGTGAAACAAGGGTTTTCTGTGGTTCACGGACGACTTTTCTATAAGCAGAAGCTGGTGATTCCAAGTAATTCGCATCACATTCCATTAATCTTACGAGAATGCCATGATTCCGTGATGGGAGGTCATGCGGGTGTTCTGCGTACATTGCAGAGAGTGAAGTCGATGTTTTACTGGTCGAAGATGCGAAGTATGATTCAGGAGTATGTGTCTGCTTGCTCTATATGCCAGACACACAAGTATTCAACGCTCGTTCCTGCGGGCCTATTACAACCTATTGAGTTACCAGTGCGCATATGGGAGGATATAGCGATGGACTTTGTGGAAGGCCTACCGGTATCTCAAGGTGCTAATGTGATTTTGGTTGTGGTAGACAGGCTCAGCAAATATGGGCATTTTATTACACTTAAGCATCCGTTTACTGCAGTGGAGGTGGCTCAAAAGTTTGTCAAAGACATTGTCCGTTTACATGGGTTTCCTCAGTCTATCATTTCGGACAGGGACAAGATCTTTCTGAGAAAATTCTGGAAGGAATGCTTTCGTGTAGCAGGTACAAGACTTCGTTTCAGTACTGCATTTCATCCGCAATCTGACGGTCAAACGGTGGTGCTGAATAGATGCTTCGAGACTTATCTCGTTGCTTTGCATCGACACATCCTAAGAGTTGGTCGAAGTATTTGGCTTGGGCTGAGCTTTGGTATAACACCTCTTACCATACTGCTCTCAAGTGTACACCGTTCAAATTGGTTTATGGTAGGGATCCTCCTACGTTGATGCAGTATGAGTCCAGAGCAACACAAAACTTTGAAGTTGAGGAGATGCTGAAAGAAAGGGAGTTGGTGTTGTCTTCGATTAAAGAGAATCTGTTAAGAGCTCAAGCTATCATGAAGAATAATGCGGATTGCCATAGACGTGATTTGGAGTTTACCGTTGGTGAGAAGGTCTATTTGAAGTTAAGGTCGTATAGGCAACACTCTGTGAGTCGCCGCTTATTTCAGAAGTTGGCTGCACGATATTATGTTCCATTTGAGGTTCTTGCTCGAGTTGGTAAGGTGGCTTATCGCCTTGCGTTGCCGGACAGTTCGAAAATACACCCAGTTTTTCACATCTCGCAACTTAAGCCGGTGGTGGGTTCGTCAACTGTAGTTACTCCATTACCTCCTGTACTCTCAGATTCTGATGATTTGTTGATTGAACCTGAGTTGGTAATGGATAGACGTTATGATGAGCAAGGCTATTTGGAGGTTTTGGTGAAATGGAAGCATCTTCCGGATCATGACTCTTCTTGGATGAGAGTGGGTGTTCTTAAGCAACAGTTTCCGACATTTTCACTTGAGGACAAGCTGAAACTCGGGGAAGGGGGTATTTATATGCCTGCGTGTGTGTATACGAGGAAGAGGAGAAAGATGGAGAGAGGAGAAGGGAGTGTGGAGTTAGGTTCAGTCAAGGAAGTTGGCGGTTAGGGAGTTCAAATATAATTGTCATTGGGCCTTACTATATAAGAGGACCCAATGTAAAATAAGAGAGTTAGTTAGGTTTTGGCTTAGGCCTTATTTTCTTGTAACAAACTATTGGCTTGACTCTACTTTAGAGAGTACAAGAGAGGGTGGTTGGGCGGTTATTCATTCAAAATACATTCAAGTTCTATCATTTGAGCATCATAGTCAATACAAGAGTACCAGGAGTCTGGAGTGGTGGTAAAGATAAAATTTGGTGTGCCTTGACTGCACTCGAAAGAGAGAATGGGAAACATTGAGTGGGCTAGTGTCGTGCTCACGGTTCCCAAATTCTACGGTTCTTCCGTAGTCGACTAACTTAGTTTTGGTCAAACAAAATGTAATCATACTTGGTAATTGCCAAAACGTTGTTTTTAGTATTCTTAAAGCTAATAGCTTTCTTTGTATTCAACAAAATAGTAGATAATAGCCCAGTGGTGTCCACAAGCAAAAAAATAAATAAGTAGACTAAACGCAGCTGGGTTATAACAAGCAAGAGTCTAAAGATTTACATTGCGCATATAACCAATTAACCATAGTATACCTAACCAATGATCTCTCTATTACAAGTCTGAGAAATCTTCATCAACCACTTAAGCTTGTAGTGCTTCGTTTCTTCCATGAAGTTCCAGCCTTGAGGAGAATTTTAGGTAGGTTTTGATTCTTCAGACAAAGCTTGGAAGACTCTTTGTTGGGTCATATCCTCGACAATCACAACTTTATCTCGAGACTTGGATCCTGAACCCAATGAAACTTGTCTTCTTTTCACCCCCAACACCTGTTTCACATAACATGTCAGGATAAGAATGTAACTGAGAAACCCCAAACATTACATAGACAAACCTTACATCACAAAATTAAACTATATGAGTATTGACTTATCCTTGATTCAGCTATATAACGAAAACGAAAAATGAAAACACTTTATGCAAAAGAAATTAGAGAGCGATTTACAGAGCTCATGTATTCGAGAAGTGCAGCGTTAGCCTCACCATCCCTAGCCGGAGCATCGATCTGAACGCCCACCGCTTCGTCGCTCACATCTTCAGACCAAAGCGAGACACTCATGTCAGTAACTGTCTCAAAATCGCTTTGCACAAAAGAGAAATATAAAGAAAGTAAAATTACTGGTGATGGAGGCAGATTTGGAACCAGGCTTCGCGTGGATTGTGATGGCGACGGAGGAAGGGGCAAGAAGGCGCAAACATGACGGAAAGCTCGAAGTGTTATCGGCGGTGGGTTTTGCCGTGGTTGATGCGGCCAAATTGCTCTTCTTTCCTTTCTTCGTCGGAGCCATGTTTTTTTATCCGGCGAAGGATGCTTCCTTTCTTTCTTTTTTCTTGACAACAAGGATGCTTCCTTTCTTAATCGGTGAAACCTTGTGTTTTTATTTCAGAGGGTCCATTGGGCTTTGGATTTGACAAAGGAATCATTATTTTTATAAATTTTTCAGAATTTGTATTTCTTAATCTCATCTGAAAATCAAACTAATTACAGATCAATGAAAAACAGGGAAAAACAAACTAAAAACCTTTAACATTACTATTTTTTTTAAATAACTCGGAAATGTTAATTTTTTTTCTAACACACTCGAAAAGAAAGTGGTATTTTCATTTTTTTTTGTTTTTCAAGTGAAATACGGATCTCATTTTCCGTTATGGATGATAAACATATGATTCGCTCAGATTTCACTTTCGGCCTCGTATCTACTTTACGATCCAATTTTTGTGTTCTTTCCTTTCTTCTTCTTATCATCTCTAACTATTATTGTTTCAAAATCCGTCTTTACCCATCTGGTTCATAGATGTCCTATTTTCGTCGATTATGCTCAGATTTTCAAGCGGAAGGAAGATTACATTTTGTAAAGTATCCTTTGAGTTTGATTTCACCGAGATTTTGGGTTTAGTTTTGTTGATCTCGGCTCAAAATTTTTCAGACTTGAGTTTCTCCAAACAAGAAAAAGTTTTGGCGTTCTGTTCGAGAATATTCTAAAACTCTCTCAGGCTTTCACATCTGATGGTTTGTGCACTATATTGAATAGTGACGGAAAAGAAGTATGCAAATGTTTCTTGGTGTGGAGTGGATCGATCACCAAGCTTCTTTATAGTAGAGCCAAAGAATATCAAGTCAGTGGAGTCGAGATGATTGTGGGAACATAAATTCCGAGTCGAAATGATTGTAGGAACCTAAATTTGCACTGTCGATTTCCGTTGAATTAAGAACGTAGGGTAAACCCTAATTTTCCCGAGGTCCCGGTTATCGGTCGTTACGTAGCGATTTGGCCCTTGTTCGTGTTGGGTTGCTATGTAATGACCTGGTTCGTCCGTGGAGAAGTTAGGATGTTTTGTCCTTTTTTATTTTTTTGTCCGACGTTTTGATGTTAATTTTTCGTGACCTTTTTTGACCCCAACAGTTAACCCCCAGCCTGTTAGAATCGTAGGCTGCCGAGGAGCTTCTAGCGTGTGGGTTGGACAAGCTGGGCAAGATTTGTGAGTTTGGACGAAGTTAAGCATCCAAAAAAAGTAACTTCTCATGTCTATAAGTATATGGGGTAAGTCCTCATGTTTCCCACTTACAAATTTGCATAAGAGAAGATTTCTAGTGAGATAGAAGTTGAAAATAAATCTCCTCCTCTTTTTCCAAAGAAAGTTCAAAATATGTCTTCTAGAAAGAGGTCTTCGAGGAAGACAGCTGCTCATGGTTCCTCCTCCAGAAGTACTTGCGAGGACGAGATCCTTGTTCCGAAAGCTGAGTTCATGCCTCGTTCAGCCGATCAGGACGAGGCTGAAGCGTATTGGACCGCCAGGTGTGGTACGATCGTTCTGCTTGCCGAAGCTCCCTTCCCCGCTCTGAGCCATCATGATGTTGAAGCGGGTACTCCAAGTAGAAGTTCCCATTCGTTCCTTAACACGATCCGTGAGTTTTGCGGGATTTCGGACGGCGTGGAATTCTGAATTCCTCACTGAAGGGAGAGTGCTGATAACTCTCCAGAGGGATACTTTACGTGTTATGAGGCATTCTTAGTACGCTGCCGTTTATGGTTCCCGATTCCAGAAATCATAATCCAGGTATTTGATAGCTTTGAGGTGGCGTTGGGCCAGTTTAACCCCACCAGCCTTCAGCACCTTATTGGTGTCTTAGTGTTGAGCTACGAACATGGTTTGCCCTCCTTAGGTTGCAATATGTGTCGGGCCTTGTACCTACCGGTTGACCCCTCGGAAGTACATGTCAGTGATCAGGGATCCTATTTCGAACTGCGGCCCATGGAGGAAACTCTTCTTTTTGTTCGTACAAGCGCTGATTCAATTGATGAAGGTTGTTGATATCACTCAAATTGCCCTAAGGAGTGAATTACTCTCATCAAAAGAGTTTCAATTGTAGTACATAGGGATCGAATCCACAGAGACTCTAGGATTACACAACAGATTATTTAGTCTTCGAAATAAAGCTAGACATCAAGTTTGAAACAATAACTTAAAAGATAAGCAAGCGATTGCTCGATTGATTGATTGGTTTATTAAGAGGAAACAAAGTAGTTAGACTTAGGTATTTTCTCAGGTATGACAAACATGCAAGTTATAAAGGGTTTTTATTGTTCATAGTTCTGGATTCAAACTTTCAAGGTTTTAATCTAAGGAATTAACTTCTACTGGGTCTCGGGTCAACAACTATCGTTCGATGACCGTAAGAAAGTATCGATCGATTTTCAATAAAAATATCAGTCGATGAATTTTTGCTATATCGGGCGACAAGATGATTATCCCGTCGATCGATATCGCTTCCAGCGAGCTCTAGTAACAAGTTTGAAACGGTTCTCTAGCCTTCACTAAATAAACTTAGATTTCAGGTAATTGCCAAGTTCTCACTTGTCCATATTGATCCTAAAATAAAAGATAAGGGTGATCAATCCTTATTATTAGCATTTATGATGACTAGATGAAGAATTATATTTTAAACTCCCTAGTAATGGTTTATTTTCAATGCATGAGTCAACCGTAATGAGAAACCTAAATCTAACAAGAGAGACTACTTAAACATATTTATGAAAGACAAAGTCATAATGGTTTGAATAATGTTTTTAAGATAATAATAGCAAGAGAAATAGTAAAGAAATAAGTAAAGTAAGGGAGTTCAAGATCTTCTCTTGATTTGTAGTTCAGATCTCTCTCTCTACTCCTAAGCTCTTCTCAAAGTATAGCTAGATGCTTCTCCCCAAAATTAGGTCTAAAAGATCTCTCTGAAGAAGTCTGTCTAAATTAGTACAAAAACCCTCTTGATATAGCCTAACAGGCGGCCAGGGACTTAAAGTGTAATTATTAAAACTCTTGTGAAGCAATTAGGGATTCTAATCTTTATTTAATTACTCGGAGGACTTCTGTATCGATCGATGGTGAATGTCTTCAATTGGTCGATATGGGTAATCTTTATTGGTCGATTGTTCTCAACATACGTCGGTCGATATCTTTAACATCGTTTTGCTCATATCTTCATAAAGTCTCCATTTTAGCTCCATAATGGCTAGTTTACACCAATGAGTACCTGAACCTGTAAAAGCTCTAAAAAGACACTAGAAGTATCCTTTTGTTTCCAAAAACATATATAAATCATGGTTGAAAGTGGGTAAAATCCATGACATATCAACTCCCCCAGACTTATCATTTTGCTTGTCCTCAAGCAAATAATAGAACATTGGTCAAGAAAAGGTTTGAAAGGCGGAAGCTCCTATAATTCTTAACTTAGAACCATCATCTCTTTACTTATTGCAAGCCACTTCAGATATCAATCAATCTCAGAAGTACATTACACCATATTCTAGCTTAGCAACCAAATTCAACTAGCCAACAACTTAATGATCATGTTTGTCTATCCCCTCTGCCTGTTTCATTTATGCATAAATTAAAAGTGCAGGCTTTACCTTGGGAATATCGATCAAAGGACACGTGGACTCTCGCCCCAGCATATATCTGAGTAAATAGGTAGTCTTATTATGGTTTCTTTTCTCCCTATATCTTCCTTCTCTGAATCCCAAATTAACAACAAATGCTCATCTTATTGATCTTTCTACTTTTGTAGCCTTTTCTGGCAAAATGTAGGTAAATAGTGGGGTCATGGGTAATGTACCTCTCCCTCGCTTCCACAATGTGTGATCATTCCTTTGAATTAGAATAGTGGGGTCATGGGTAATGTACCTCTCCCTCTGCCTCTCAAGAAATCATCTCAATCTTTTATTTATTTATTTATTTATTTTGGATGCCAAAGGAAGGAGAGAAGGAAACCAAAATCACCAAGACTTTTACCTTTCGGATCTGAATGAGGAATCCGATCCAGTGTATACCAAGCCCCAAGACAAGCAACATATGTTAGGTTAGGTTGGAAATCGGCTTTGGTTCTTCCAAACATTTTCAACAAGTGTTGTCATAGCCGACAGGTGATTTGCTTTAGCATCTCTAGTACCCTCTATAACTGACAAATCTAAGAGTGGTGCTAAGAAGTGGTTAGGTAACAAGTCTGAATTAATATAATCATTGCTCCCTTCTTAGTAAAACACATTTTTTTTATATAATAGAGAGAAAAAAATGAAATGAAAATGTTACTAAAATACCCCCCAGACTTAAACAACACTGTCCCAGTGTTATTTTGTCTAAGAGGAATACATCCCTGAGAGTTCTTGGAACTGGGTAAGGGGTGCTGCTGGTGTAGCCCGAGAGGTACCGGCACTGCAGACTTCTGTATCTCGGCGTGATGCGGATGGGTTGCGGACTAAGCGTGCATCCGGCTGGAACCTAAGCCTGTCGATGTCCATCGTGAAGTCAGTCGTCTCCGGTTGAGGTAGAAGGAACCTGCGTGTACCAGCTGCAGTCCTGAAAGTACAGGATAACTGCCTGTCCATCCAACGGCTGTTACACAGATGAGCTGCGTCCTTGTAAGCACGAGAAGTGTCAGCGCTGCCCTCGTCAAAACGGATCCCGAGGTGCTGGAAGATCGGTGTTAGAAGACTCCCTACGCTCTCCTTCTTCGCGGATGTACTGGAGAAGGGCTTTGTCTTCAAGCTGACTAGATGCTCAGCGAAGACGGCACCCAAGTTTGGTGTGGTCAGCTCGCGGTCCGGGTCCAGGAAGGTCAGGTCTACTAGTCCGTCAAGTGCATGGTAGAGAAGTGTAAGCTCGTGGATCCCCACCTTGTTCGGCTCCATCTTGCAAAGCAGAGTGGAGGCAAGGATTCGCATGAAGTACCGGAGAGTGGGGTGGCGGATGTCGGTCTGAATCACCGTGGCTGAGCTCCAGCGACCTGTGCCAAAGATCTCCCAGAACTCCTTAACTCTTGG